TATCCATGTGATACACCAAAGTTGTTGGATGCCATCTGTGACTTGTGGATATGACACATGAGGATCCCTAATGCTCAAAGGGGATGTCGACCTTTACCGAAAACAAATAATATTCCAAACAGCTACTTAGGTTAACAAAGAAATACTCGTATTTGAAATTGGAATAAGAAAGGATGATTTTCCTGGTAACAAACCAAACATATATATGTATATATATTGCAATATATGAACGGAAACACGCCTACGCTGTTTGAGAAGGTGCTCTATTTAGAATTGCTACGAGTAAAATGCATTCGGGGTATTTGCTTCAATGTGAACATATTACATACCTACTAAACATATAACTATTTACATACTCCAGTGTCCTGGGGTATTTGTATCCAATATGCAGGGGTTTATTACCTGGTATTTACAGTTTATTGTACCCGGTTTGCTTTTTGTTAAGAAATGTGTATATACACATACAATGTAGAAATCTTCCCGAAGTGAGTTAGTTTTATTTTCAAATTAATGAGGAAAAATTGTTGCTGTTGTCACACCCCCGCCGGGAATCGAACCCGGGCTCTTTGGCTTTACGCGCCAATGCTTTGACCACTAAGCTACGAGAGATGACAACAGCAACAACGACAAACCGTACTATTAGTCACAGATGTAGATGACTAATGTAACTATGTACTGAATATAAATATATATACATTAGTTCAACGGATCTGTGACCTAATAAGTACGGTTTGTCGTTGTTGCTGTTGTCATCTCTCGTAGCTTAGTGGTCAGAGCATTGGCACGTAAAGCCAAAGAGCCCGGGTTCGATTCCCGGCGGGGGTGTGACAACAGCAACAATTTTTCCTCATTAATTTGAGGTAGTGTGTAGTGGGTAAAAATTGAGAATATTTCATATTAAAATGTGTATATATTGCAGGCGCAAGTGGACATTAGTTTTTATAGTATAGTCGAAATAAGAAGGCAAAGTCGCCAATAAATAATGCACACTAAAGGCATATCGTTGATATCCTGTCTTTACTCTCTAAACACGCCTCCTCCACAGCTGCGTCGAGACCTGCACCTACGTTTCATAAGAATCAATCAAATAAAATGAGACGATCGACAACATGCTTGTCTAGTCATTTGTATCTACATGAAATGCGCAAATTTACAGGGTCGGCTTAATTTAGTTGGTGTTTTTGTGCGAATATTCATCTCTCTACATATATCGTTTAAGTTATCATTTGGTTGTAACTATTGTTGTCGTTGTTTTTGTTGGTGTTATTGTTTTTGTTATTGTTATTTTTGTTGAAAACTTTCAAAGAAATGGTCCGAGAAGTTTTAAATTCTGAGAGTAGAAAACTTGTTTGGAATGTTATTAATTATTTTCAAAGAAAGAAAGAAACAAGTAGAGAAAACATCTCCGTTATAAACATAGCGGCGGAGATTAGTTGCAGAACCGTATCCCGGATACGAAAAGAAGGTGGAACTTTTAATGTAAAAACAGATATATTATTTTGTAAAAAATTATTTTTAAAATTTTTTGATGTACATTCGAAATTATAAAAATATTATTGCATTGAATTATCTTAGATCTTACAATAACGTTTCACCATACTGTAGCACGACTACTACCTTAAGCCGATCCTGTAAATTTGCCCATTTTATGTAGATACAGACAACAAGACAAGCACGTTTTCAACCGTCTCATTCTATTCGATTGATTCTTATGAAACGTAGGTGCAGGCCTCGATGCAGCTGTGGAGGAGGCGTGTCTAGAGAATAAAGACACGATGTCTTCCGTTTGTAAGAACGAGAAAAACAATATGCCTTTAGTGTGCATTATTTATTGGGGACTTTGCCTTCTTATTTCGACTATACTATAGCTAATACTTAGCAGCGGATTCTTTCTTCAAGATTCTATAATCATAACAATATGACATAATCCACGACCGAAAATTGTAGGTTACTTCGGTAAATTACTGGGGTGAACATAAGTCATAGTTGACTTTATATGCTGCTCAAAAATTGTTCCAGTTTATCTGCTCGTTTTAATATGAAGTGTATATTGGTTTACCACTAATTCGGTGAAATAATTTTATATAACTTCACATTTTTATGCTTACGATTAATAAAAAATTGTGTAATCTCAATGTCTGCTATTACATGGGTACCTGCTTCAACCAAACCTGTCACCAACAAAAGTTCAATTATAGCAAGTCGATCCATAAACCGCAACGTCTGGCGAAAGACAATTTTCAAACATTATGTCACTGAAACTGAATTGAACCATCATTGGCTATTAGTAATAGTTAAAATCTTGCAATTTAACCCGTAGGGATAGATATATATAGGGGCAGAACATTAGTATGCTTAGATTTGCATATGATATAGCAGTATTAGCATCTAGCAAGGAGAAGTTTTTAAATAAAATGAAAGCGGTACTGACAAAACAGTATTGTATGAAAATAAATAAAGGTAAAACAAAAATACTGGTAGCAAGAGAGAAAAAAGTAAGAAAAGAGCGAATATAAAGATAGGAGACGAAAAATTAGAAGTGGCTGATTTCAGGTATCTAGGAAATCAGATATCAGGACGGAAGAAGCAGTAGGGATATAAAGCAGAGGATAGCGCAGAGTCGTGTCGCCTTTAATAAAAAGAAGTCACTTCTATGCTCGCGAACAGTTAATTTAGAAATTCGAAAAAGGTTGTTAAAGGTGTACGTTTGGAGCGAGTTGCTGTACAGGTGTGAAACATAGACGGTAGGCGCGGCCTATAAGAAAAGGTTAGAAGCGTTCGAAAAGTGGTGTTATAGGCGAATGATGAGATTACCGTGGAAAAGGAAGGTAACAAATGAAGAGGTATTAGAAGGAATAGGAGAACGGAGGACTCTATGGAAGTCGATAAGAAATAGGCGAGATAGGTTGGTAGAACGCCTTATCAGGCATGAAGGTTTAGTCAGAGACATATTAGAGGCAGAAACAGGAGTTAAGAGGAGTAGAGGTAAACTTAAATTAGATTATTGTTCGAAAATAGTTAAGGTAACAGTGGAGGTGCGTGTCCAACCAGTGTTAGGACTGACGATCTTATGATGATGATGAGACTTATTTAAAACAAAAACCGATGCACGTGATCTATCATGCCCTTGTAGGCAAATCTATATTGAAATACTTAGATTATGCAGAAAACAGCCAGTTTTTGATTGGTATTTATTGAAATGGTTTAAAGGGAATAACCAACAAATCTCAAGTGCAGACCTAGCAGCAACACTACCGTTTGGGTAGTACGATCTCGCTCACCACGCCATTTGTAGTATTTTATAAAACGCGCTGTTAAGACAGCAAGTAAAGGTTGGTCTGTGTTCTGTCGGAGCTGCCTGCGACGCGCTGATGAAATCCAAAAAGATCTGGCAGTTTCGACAGAATACAGACCACTTCGAATTATTTTGTTTAATGAAAAATA